TCTAAAAATATTTCAAGAAAGAGCAAATTGCTTAATTGATCAACCGAATTACACCTTAAATCATCGATTATATATAGCATTTTTTGCTACAATCATTGATTAATTTAATCAATGAATATAAATATTCCGGAATTTTATATTACTTTTGTCATCAATGAATATAAATACTCCGGAATTTCATATTACTTTTAGTTACACGGTATTCCAATAAAGAAAGCTGTGGTCAATCTATAATTATAATTACCGATTTTATAAATATTACATTTAATTATATCGAAAAACTCAATTAATTTATAGAATATTACATTTGATCATATCTAAAAACTCAATTAATTTATAGATAAAGAGTTAGAATAAAATTATGATACCATTGATTAATTTAATCAAAAAAATATAAACAATTATATGTGCTTTCTAAATTTAAAAAACGATCATATAGGCATCCTACATTAAATTATCCATTTTTTTTTTTCACTATAATATTGAACAAATAACTTTTCTAATAAAATAATATCAATTAATCTTAGAAATAATGTTGTTACCTATTTAATTGTTTGTTTAAAAAAAATAACAAATAAACTGTTAATTCAGTTTTTTTTTTCAAAAAATAATTGCATTAATCAATTTAATTTTTTCCAGTGGTTACGGTATTTTTTATTATAACGATTACTACGGTAGCAATACAGAATGCTGCATGTGGTCTGTACCAAAATTCATTGTATGGTTTGGTTGCAGTTTTCCCACCACAATATACCAATGCTATTCTTCTTGGTAGTAATATTTGCGGTACATTTGTATCCGTTGTTAATATTATAACAATTGTTGGTTAGTTTAATACACAAATCCATTTAATTAATTAAATTGCTATTTAATTAAAATGATTAAAATGATTTAGCAAATTACAATATATATTATGATCCATTACTTCTTACTATTACTTTGTCAAACAATGGAACTTAGTAAGGCTTGAATAATAAATTAAATTAAATGATGATAGTATTTTAATTAGACACATAAACAAAGAGACATTTAATTAGATATATAAAAAAATTATATGTGTCACTAAGCAGTTTCAAGATTTATCCTTGTGAATCCTTGTTATAAATAATTTTGCATTGTTAAAATGCTGAAAATAAGTACAGTTTAATAAAAGTTTTAACTTTAAATTTATTATTCAATCTTTTAGCAACAAATGATATTAAAACCGCTGCTTTCTTCTATTTCTTCATATCATTTCTGGCAGTTCTCACATGTTTTGGCTCATTATTTATACTTGTAAAATTAGTAAGTATTTACAATTATTATTATTTCACCATATTTTAGTCTTTTCAATTTTGAAGTGTTAATTTTTTCCATAATTATTTTAATTTTGATAATTTAAATCTTTTTATTCATATTTTTTATTTCCATATGTTATACATACTATAATTACTTCAAATCTTACTTACTTTCTGATATATTCAAAAGCATATGTCAATATATTTGCGTGATATTGCAGGATTTTTATCAGTATTACATGCAAAAAGCAATTGAGAAAATGGAAAAGAGAAATTTGGATGGAATATTGGTTGAATACAAACAAAATAATAGTAATATAAATAAAATTGGATTAAAAAGTAATAATTGCGAAGTTAGCAAACATACGAACATTTCAAATAGTGGTGATATTGATTTATTAACAATAAATTTTCGGATGAAATTATACCTGTATTACGATGTTTTCAAAAAGGTTATTTTATTCTAAAATTAGTTAATTCATGAATTTATTAAGTAATTAATTTACTTATACTTTAACTTTTCCTGTCATGTTATTTATCACTTTTTTTTTTCTAGCAAAGTAGTTTAAAATCAAACTGAAAGATCATTAAATTGATTGCAGTTATTATCTTTATGTCTAATACTTCATCATGAGAAAATGTTCAAGCATAAGATGATCAAATCATAAAAATAATACATGAAAATATTTCTCAGTTGATCAACAAATTATCTTCTTATCATTCATTATCAGATTAATATATGTGTAACTAATTTCTTTTTTTTTCTATTTATCATGAATCATAATTTATTTTTTTGTCATTTTACATTCTGATCTTGCCATGTATTTATTTTAATTAGTGGATTAATTTGATAAATTTTCCTGCATTAATTTGCTAATTCCATTTTGTTTATTTGCTAGATCAATCTATTCACTAATTTCTCAAAAATGAATCAATAAAAAAAACTAAAATGGATTTGATCATTGATAAAATTATTTCAATAAAGTATTGGAAATAGAATATTGATTGTTTATATGAATTTATGTTCAGATAAGAATGCAATGCTTCAATATTTGGTTTATATTCGTTGTAACAATAGCATTATTTCCAACAGTAATGGCTGATGTGAAAGTTTATAGTGAAAACGGTATTTACAGCTTTGTAATACCAGGTAAGTATTATTATCACTGATATCACTGATAAGTTTAACTGAAATGAATTGAATGTTAAGTGATTAGAATTGTGATATCTTTAACAAATTGATTAAATCATAATTTGATTAAAACGATGTATTACATTTTTTACCTATCATACTGATTGATAATAATTTTAAGAAATGACTTATTGTTCTGGAAGATTTAATTTACATATTATTTAACTCAACCATATGATTTATTATTGAAGTTTAATATATTCAATTAGATATAATCTGCCATTAACTTATATGAACACATAAATTATTGTTGCATATTTTCAGAAAAATTATTCACCCCAGTAACCACATACTTTTTTTTCAATCTCTTTGCTTTTTTTGGATCATTTTTGGCAAATTTCGTGCATTGGGTATTTCTTTTTGGAGTCTTATTTTTTTTCTCCAAGAATAATTTTAAAAATTCCATAAATAAAAAAACTGAAACTTTTTTTAAAAAAAAATTAAAAATTAAAATTATAAATCAATAAAATTTAGCCTCAACCTAAATGGCTTGTGGTACCAGTTATCATACAAGTAGCTTTTATTCCGCTAATGTTAATCTGTAACTTTCGATCAGCACATCGAACATGGAAAATATTAATTTATAATACATGGGTTTACATTGCTCTGGCTATCTCAATGTCATTATGCAGTGGATATTTCAGTGCCTTGGCCCTTATGTACGCACCAAAGTAAGTCCATTATTTAAACTTACTTCAATTTCTTCCTCATACCCATCATTTTAGTAATTTTGACTTATCTGACATTGTTCACCACTTAAGTATTACTGATAAAAGTTAAACCTATTGAATATTGCCAGACAAAATTACAGAATTAGCACAGAGTTTTAGATTTAAAATTCAACATTTCCATAGCAAACAGAACATCAGAATTGAAATTTGTAACTCTTAAGTCCAATTTGTTAATTATTATCTGTTAATTTTTAATTGCTAATTGTTAAATTTTAGACAGGTGGAAGCATCAAAATCTACGATTGCTGGAATGATTGCTGCTTTCTTCCTTATGTTTGGTTACTTTTTTCATTATTATCCAAAAAAAAAGCAGAATTAAACTTTCAACTTTGATCTAATATAAGCATAACAAAAGTATTTCGAATCATTCAATTGGAACACAGCAAATTGGTTAAACTATAATTTTCAATTCAAATGAAATTACTGTAATTTCAATATTACTTTTCAGGCGTGATATGTGGTACATTACTTACATTCGTCATATTATGGTTTATTGATAGCGTTGGACCACTTCAACCTACAAAATTATGAAAGAAAAAGAGTAGAAATAGTGACTGAAATGATAGTATTCATATAAGTAAAATGTTTCTACCGTATCCCATCTCTGCTTACCGTATCCAATCTCTTCTTACCGTACTTTTCATGCTGTTCTACCGTATCGCTCATATTTCATTGTATTCTATCATTTTACAATAAATTTTTTTTTTTGTATGAGAAAAAGGAATCATTGTCTTTTATTTTTATTTGTTGCTGCTAATTTTGGTTTATTTTAATATTATGCTATAACTGCTCTATAAAATATTCATCCAATTAGCAACAAATATTTTTCTCAATTGCAGAAGTAGATTAAAAAATAATAATTAAACCTGATCTAATGTTACTTTTTCGTTCATATGTAACTTATTTTGAACAATTTTATTGATTTCGAACTGACTATAAATTGCTCAATTAAGTTTTATTTAATAAAAGATAAAATGTTATCAGTTAACTTCACATTACTACCACTACTGCAACAACAACACATATCAATCTTTAATATTTCTTCTGGAATTATTTAGTGCTTGAAAAATCTAAATGTCAATTCATTGATAGTTTTTTCTCGAGAATTTAAATTCTCTAATTCATCAAACATTCAACAAATCATTTCAACAATTTTAGGGATTTCAGAATACGTCGCATGCAACATAAAGTTTATTTTCCCATTTGGTCGGTGGAGGGAAATTTGTTGATGATTGTTTGGCACGGAAATTTCTAATTTTAATATGGTCTGATTAGAAGTGGGAAGGATTGAGATTTATAAGCTTTAATATCTTTGATTATGATAGGATGAGGAGAAATTGAGAATTTTTATCAGAGATTTAAGATTAAAGTATTTTTAAAATAAAATAAAGATAGGAGAAGATATTTAGAATTTGATGAAATGCAACAGATGAAGAAAAGTTAGGTGAGAATTAGCGAAATAATTTTGACAGAGAAGTGATAAAGTTGATGATAAATATGTTATCATGATTTTATCATGATTTTGACAATAATTTGTTCAACAATGTTTATCCTTTAGCAATTTTTTTTTCACTTAATCAGTTCTATATTAGAGGAATATGAAACTTTTCCAGAAAGTTGATTATTGTTATTAAAAAGCAAATAATTACTTAATGCAAGATTATTTTTTCCTTTTTTTTCTTTCTTGAAGTTTCAAGTGTTTCGCGCATTCATAATTTAATTTGATATTGGATTGATAATGTTTTTTTTTTTCTTTTTCAGTTTTAATTGATTTGAAAATTACTCGTTGATATAGGAGTAATGGAAGCTGAAATTGAAGAGCTAAAGTAAGGTTACTTTACAAATTTTTGTAAAATCAACCATTTAGATCTTTATAGTCTCATTTTTAAGAATATTTTATTGATTTTTGTGAGATTTAGGCAAGAAAACCTCATATGGATTATCGTATAAGCTTAAGCGAATATTCTGTGGATTTTATATAAATTTTCAATTAAAAGTGGCTGAAGATTTTATTCTGATTTTTAGTATTTTTTTTTTTCACATACAAAATACAATAATACACAATCGCTTGCATGTCTTTATGTTTTGTTTCAATCATTTATTGTTATAGATTAAAATTAAAAGAATCAGAATCAAAACAAGTGGCCATTGCCCAGTTGGCGAAAGAGATATTGGAGAAGGATAAAGATAAAGATCAACGCCTTTCTACGCTTGGTGAAGAAAATCTTCAGCAATCAAGAGTATAAATTTATGTTTGCATCGATAAATTTATATTTTGTTAACTTTATCGTTTTGTTACAGTCATAAAATCTTTAAAATAATCATCATTATAAGTAGCATTTGTTAAGAAAATTCGATTACTTCATCGAATTATTTTAAAGTAATAAAATATCAACCATTAAATTATAATTTCAGGATATCGCTCGGTTACAAGCATTACTGAAAACTCGTGATGAATATTTGGCTGATGCTGAGAGTGAAATAATAAAACTTCGCAATGAAATTACCGAAATAAATGGTACTAAAAGCGCTTATTTGGTCGAACTTGAACAAAAAATATCTTCTCTTCGTACAGAGGTTTCTTATATTAATTTGCTGCATAGTGAAGTATCATTTACTTCCTCTTATTTTTGTCAACTATTTGTCATTTATGATAATTTTTTCATATCGTCTTATTTTTATCAGTTGATTTTAGTTTCATGTTTTTTTTTTAATGGCTGTTTTAATTACTGACAATTTTTTTTCCTAGAATAATAGATCTGATCATTCTTGATTTCGAATTAAAAAGTGAGACATAAAATATTAAAAGCGAAATAAAAACTCCGATTAATATATTTTGAAAGCAGTCACTTACAGATAAATGAAAAGAATGACATGCTATTTGAACAAGAACAAGAAATACAAGGATTAAAAAAAACATTGGCATCGAAAGAGCGGGAATTGGAAAAAGCATCACAAAAACCTGATGTTGCAATCATCCAAACATCGAACACTTTTTCTGATTCTGAACGAGAAAAGTTGAATCAAAAAATGGTTAACCAATACTTTCTTAGAATGCCGAAAACTATGCTATAAGAAAAAATTATTTTGAAATTTCTTATATTTCTAAATCTTACATTACTTTGACTTTTTCAGGCGGAATTGGAATTGGAGAAGAATTTGATATTGGAGGAGATTTCGGAGCTACAAGATAAAGTAGTTATAGCTAATCGAAATTTGGACAATGAAAGAAGCCATGTTGAGGAGCTGTCAACGATATGTAATGCTTACAAACATGACGTTGAGGTTTATCCTTCGTTCTTTGATTTAAAAAATTTCTTCTTGTAATTTAATCCTATTTAAATAATATGCACTTTTTCATCTTTTGTCATGTTTTATTTTAAAGATAATTTGAAGGAATTAAAAAATCGATGTAATGAATTAACTTCCGAATTGAATGAGTATCGCAGTAAAACAAAGATCGCAAAGAGAGGAAACTCAATGTTTTTTGAGGTGAGTTAAGCAATTCATCTTTATAAAGAAAGAAGTTTCTATGTTAGTTTCATTTTAAACTTTAAAAAATATTTTCGTGATTTTGTTTTTGCAGTATTTCTCAGTTTTCATACTGTTGCTGTCATTGTTATTTTAGGTTTCGTTTTTAGTTTGTTGATGAAAGAGTTAAACTGGAAAAAGATCTTCTGAAGCTCAAATGCCAGAATGATTTTTTTGCTAGTCAGAAAGAAGCATATGAATTGGAATTAAACGAGCTTAGAAACGAATTAATGCTTGCATTAACTTTGCGCGCTAACGAAGGAAATACTGGTAAATGATTGTTTAATAATATGTTAGCTATTTAATCAAATTTGTTTTAAGGTAGAAGAGATGTCAGAGTTTTTATTTGATACTCCTAACAAAAGTATGTTATTTTTTGGCATGTCAGTTTTTATAGATGTTGTATAGTGTGAATTGTTATGCACATCATAATACCGCAAATGCATTCAAATATTTGTCATATTTGTTGTTTTTGTGGTGCAAATGAATGTTTTTGCTGGTATTGATCTACCCAATTTCTTTATTTATTTCTATTTTGGTTAAGGCAGTGATACAAGTATGTTACAACTGGAGATTTCTCGCTTACGTACTGAACTGACGACACTTAATGCAAAATTACTAGAGAAATGCAAGGAGAGCACACAAGTTGAGACAGAGAATGTTTCAAATACTTCAAAGATGATTGATATGAGAGAATATGCCTTCAACAGTTTGAAGTTAGTTTTCTTTTATTATGTTTTTTCATTTACAACTAAAATTTTGAAGATTCAAGAAGAATGCACAAGAAAATTGTTTGGTTCTTCTATAACAGATTATGCCTGGTCGGTATGAATGCAAAACCTAGGCTTTATTTAATCATTCGCATTGATAATCCTAAGTTGAGGTTAGTGAATGCTAACAGGTAATTTTCGAAGTTCATCAAATCTTATTATGATGATCAATAATAAATTGATATCCTTAACAATTTCTTCTATTAATTTTGTTGCAGAGAAGAGGTGAAAATGTTGACTTTAAAATTAGGCAGAGCGGAGAAAGAGCGTATGGCATACTTTGATAAAGTTCGAGAAGCAGAGCATCAATATTCGGAAGAGTGTAAGCGTTCTCGAAAGCTTTCAAACGAAATTGACTGCTTAAAAAGACGACTTATATTGGAGCAAAAAAAGAGTTTTGATAGTACTCTTTCTAAAGCGTTTAAGCCTTCAAAAGGTTCATATTTATTTTTTAAAAAATAGGCCTGATTTAGATGTACTTAATTTACTACTCGTTCTAAACTGCTGATAATTAGTGCGAAACTTTTTTTTTTTTTTTTTAATTTAAATTGTCAGATCAGTCAAAAATTCGGTAGTTTTAAATAGCAGTTGCTTGTTTTATCTTAAAATCAATGTTATTCCTTACTTTGGTCCTTTCATCATGATTTATTCGGTGAATTTCATTCTATTTTACATAATTTTTTGCATCATTTGCCAATACATTATTGATAATCTTTTTAGAAATTCTGTCGAAAAAGATTACTGATTTCAATGAAAAAATTGCTAGTATTAATCAAATTGATATGGATGATCCAACTATCAGCGAAATTCAGAGCTCATTTACACTATCGAGTTGCTCTCTCAGACGTCCATCGGGAGATGAAGAAATTGCTACTGTTACAACTGGTACTTTTTTCTTTATTTTTGTTTCAAATCTTATATATTTCTGGAAAATACAAACTACCTATGTCTCTTGATTATTGCTTTAAATCATTAGATATAAACTTTAGTCGTTCTGTGATTACTTTTTTTTAAACTCCATGATAACTCAGTTACATTTAACTGCTGTATGCACGGTGTTTACATTTTGACCGAATAATTAGAATCATTTTTTATTTTTAGTAATCTCTTATTTGCTTTTTTTTCTGTCATTCATTTGGATAGAAGTTCTATGAACTAGAATTATAAACAGTGTGAAAAAAAAAAAAAAAAAAAGGGTTTTACTCTTTCTTTAATGTTAATTTGAAGTAGTTATTCTTATGATTGAGCTAAAGCGTTTGCATCTCTATATTAGCTTATGTTTGTTAGGTTCAAATAATTCATTTCTTAGGCTAACTTTATAAAGCATTGTACTATTTCTATACGTACGTGAAGATAGATTGTCCCATTGTCCCATTTTTTTTTTTTTATTTTCAATTACTTTAAAGGAACAGAAACAATTCCTATCGAATCAACACCTGACACTGATCAAAATGAACCACCACATTTAAATGAACAATCAAATACGAATGATAAAGAAATGCCTGTTAAGAAGCGATTAAAATTTCAGGTTTTTCATTTACTGTTAGATTAAAAAAAAATTGCACATTACTTTATTTTTTAGAATGGCTGATTGATAATTTTTTTTTAAAAGAAGAAAAATTTACTAATGAATTATGGCTTATATTCCTTTACCAAATTAAAAAATAGATGATTTTTTTTTTTTTGTGGTATTTTATGATCATTTCTATAGGCATAACTTTACTGCTGGCATGTTAGAACATATTCTTTGTTTCTTTTTTTGTTTCTTGAAAGTTATCTTCATTATAATAAGGAGTTGAAATAAATATTTAAGGCTAAAATAAAGTATTTTGTTTAGTCTTAAATAATAGCGGTTTTTTATTTTTATTTTTACTCTTTTAGGATAATTTTATTTTCTCATTTGTAGATGCCAAATGAAGGATCTAATCATGATATGTGTCCGAAAAAACCAAAACCAAAAAGAAAAGTGATGCGAAGGGTTTGTTTGAATTTGCATGGATAAATGTTGATTGTTAAAGGATAACTTTGAGAGAAATAAGCCTATTAATTGTTTCAGAAAGAATTTTTGTATTTATGAAAGTTACACTGAAAAGAAATTATTACTTTATTGAACGCAAGTAATTTCTTTTTAGTAGTCAGGTATGAGACTTGAATAATAAGATTCAAGACTTATGTTTGGCTGTTGAAGTGATTGATTTTATCATTTTAAACTTTTAAAATAATGATATGTGTCCGAAAAAAGCGAAAACCAAAAAGGAAAATCATGCTGATCATGGTGATGTAAGTGGTGATGACGACTCATAGAGAAATAATAGTTAATAATTTCTCCATTAAACTTTTTATCACATCAGAATATTATATCATTAATATAATATATAACTGTTGATAAAGCTAATCATTTTCAGGTATGTGAAGCTAGTAGCTTGTGAAAAGAATTATCTGCTATGGTTCATTCTGTAAAGCAAGATTCTAAAATATTTATTTATGTTGCATTTTATAGCTCTTCTATATTGGTGCTCTGGCTTGATACTAATTTTATAAATGAAAGCAGTAAATGATTTTATAATGGTAATATTTTGTATCAGCAGATCTCAATTTAGAAACTAATTTAGAAAAATTATAGCGAAATTTTCTTATTTAATTTCTGGATACAATTATAATTTTCCTTTTTTTTTTTTTCTTTAACTAGTTTCAATATACTTCATAAATATTCATTATGCTTGTAAATATAAAAAAATATTGTTTTACTTTTTTTTTTCCCTCTCTCTTTGTATCTCTCATTTCTTATTCTAACGTATCAATCTTGTATTGTGATATCTTTTTATTTATTTTTTATTTTTGCGGTGAATACTCTCTTTCACTTAGCTATGATTTGCATTTCAAGATATTTGTACTGTGTTTCATTAAAAGATGAAATTAAAATATTCGATTTTTCTGTTTTTTTTTTTCTTTATATTGCCTTTAATGGTTTCAAAAGAGTTATCCAGTGGCATTTTTTTTTTTTTTTATTCAAGCATTTTAATATCTTTCAATTAATTTGAAAAAATTCAAAGGTAACACACTGAGTTATTTGCAAGCATATTTAATCGTTTCAGATGAATAATTTCAATGAAGGAAGAAGCCTTGAGGCATTCTTCTATAATTTATCCGGTTATGTTAACAATTAATGTATAATATTTTTTAAACTACATAATATAAACATAATACTTTATTACATAATATAAACATAATACTTTATTCTTTGAGAGAGAGAGAGAGAGAGTGGAAGGTGATGTGTGACAACAAATACTGTTCTGAATACTCATAATTTTGTGGTGTTCAACAATGAGACCACAGTCGATTTTTTATTTTTTCATTTTTTTTTTTTTCGCGGAAAAAACGAATTATTGTTATTTTCAAATTTCGATCATTTATGTATGACGTGTTATGTGTGTTAATTGTACAAATGATTATTTGTAGGTAAATAACCTAATAAACAAAGGAGGTAACAACAGTGGTTATATTTTGATGATGGGTGAGAATTTACATTATGCTGGTTGGTTTTTTTTTTTTTTTTAGATTTATTATATAAAATTAAATTATATATATACCTTTATATGCATTATATAGTCATATACCTGTACCTGTAATTACACCTTTGAAATATCCTTGAAATTACCAAAAAACGTTCTCTTTTTTTTTCCAGTTTTTGATTGCAAAATCACAAGACTAGAAATGGTATAATTAGTATCACAATGCATAGAAATTTAATTTTTTTTTCCTATAGTATTTTCAATAAGTAAAGAAAAAGGAAAATTGAAATGTTAATTTGCAGTACGTGGTTCTAATGGTTTCGGTATAATTAGAGGTATTAGCTCACCGTTAAGGATATACGATAAATCTGAGTGAGTTTTTTTTTTTTTTCTCACGAATATATCAAATTATTTAATTTATATAATGTAGTTAATATTTTAGTGCAACTAATTCCAGATTTTTTTTAGAGATCCTAAGTCACATCCGTGTCGGGTATTTCAATTCAGTAATACTGGACAATATTTTTGTTATTGCGATACTGCTAGGTATGTGTTCACATTTTTTTTTCTTTCAACTAAGAACTAACTGTTCATCGATAATTTCTTCTCTGTTAGCGTAGTTACAAGTCAAACACAATTAAATGTCAATTATTTAGAATGAAGAGAATTCGTAAATTAATAATTTCAGTTTGAACACTTATAATGTTATAATAAAGAATGAAATAATGAGAATACAATTCATCGTCAGAAATATTCGATAGTCTATGTAAACAGTGAAATTTAATCATAAATATTTTTCAAATAGATGTAATTTTTAGGACAGTTCTAGTGGAAAGTTCTTCTGGACGAGAAATATTTAATGTTGACTTACCGCGTACTCAACAAATTGTCTTTTCTCCAAGAGACCGTTTATTGGCAACATATGAACCATATGTTTCCTACGTTGCTAAAACGGTTTGTTCAACTATTTCTTTTTTTTTTTCTTTTTAATATTAAAATTTTTAAATATAAATTTTATAGCATAAATACTTGAGAAAACGAAAATGTTACAAGTACAAGAGTGATGCTTATTTGGATAAAAAAAAAAAAAAATCCTATTTATCTTATTTATTCCATATTTAATTTATCGAATTTTTTCTTTTTTTTTTCTAATAATTTATCAATTAAGATTGAGAAAAGAGTGAAAAATTCAATGCTATCAGGCAGCTTACTAAATAATAATTTAATTCAGAGTGTTTGTTATTGATAACGTAATTAGACATGACCTGTTTTACAATTTAAACAGATCAAATGATTAATGAGAACTGTTCATTAATGATTGTATCATTGTATCAAGTACACTTCTAACCTGTTTTATCATTGTTCTTCCATCCAATTTCAATTTTTTTTAAACAATCAATAGCAAATATCTAATCTATGTACTGGTTATTACATAATGTAATAATGATATTTGGTTATGTGGTACTTACTTGTATGGTGTCGTGGTGGTATTTGGTGGTGTAAGAAAAGGCAGCTACCAAGTTCAAATCCCCGTATGGTGCACATGAATTCTAGTATGGGAAGTAAAATATTTCCTACATACTTGGGAAACGTGTGCAAAATTATAAGTGGCTTTGATGTGAGCTCGCCCACGACCATTGTCGTTGTGCGTGACGGTTAGCCGATACAGATCAATGCAAAAAGCATGTTATGCTTTCGTTATTGTGAAAAAAATGGGTAGAGAAATCTCGATATGGGTAGAGAAATCTCGATAAAATGTTTGGAAAGAAGGTTTTTGATCTGTTAAAAACTTTTAGCTATGAGATTCTTTTAGTATTCAGATTACATGGTTTTTCTTTTTTTTTTAAAACAATAATTGATAATTATTTGTTTTATGTTTCATTTACACTGATTTATTTTAAAAGTTAAACTAAATAGAAGGAAAAGTAAATGGTTGAAATTTGAAAACCTTCCTCGTATAAGATAGTAAAATATTTGCATGCAGAGAAAAAGTATGTTTGTTTTATTACCTTCTTTTTTTTTTTCTTTTATTTATTTATTACCTGTTGTTAATTTAGGCTGAAAATATCGAACAACGACAACCAGCACCAAATCTAAGGTTATGGTCACTTCCAGAAGGAAAGCATATTACTACATTAATTGCTCAAAAACAGGTTTCACAAATTGCTGTCATTTAGCTAGTAATTATACATATTTAATTCACTCTTTTAATTTTAATTTAGCCATTTGTTTTTTTTTTTAACTATTTAATTTAACTATTCGTAAATTTATTTCTTTCTTTTAACGTACATGTGTTTTATTTGAATTTTATTATTGATATAATTAAAATCACGTAGTATCACATAGTAACGTAGTATCACGTAGTAATCACGTAGTATCACATAGTAACGTAGTATCACGTAATAATCACGTAGTATCACATAGTAACGTAGTATCACGTAGTAAACACGTAGTGGTGAAAAATGTTACAGCAGTGATTGATGTGTATTTTTAGAACTCATGGAAAATTCAATGGACTGATGATGAAGTTTATTCAGTTCGTTTAATTGGATCCGAAATTTTGATTCACAAATATAATTCATATGGTAATGATATTGCTATGTGAAATAAGGCTAGAAATTTTTTGTTTGAAAATTTGATATTTCATTCTAAATTAATATTTTACAGAGAAATATGAGTCAAAATTGGTGATACGAAATGTTGAAAGTTGCTCATTGAGCTCTGGAATGGAACCACATCATCTTGCAGTATATGTTCCTGCATCTGGTGGGCAACCTGCATTAGTGCAACTCAAAAGGTATGTTTTTATCGTTAAGCTGGTTATTTATAAAAAAATAATCCTTATAACAAGCAATTATATATTTGTATATTTGTTATAAATTTTAGCACTTTTTTTTTTGATCTTAGTTTTCTATAAAGTAATTTTTCAATGGATATTTTGTTATAATTTCAAATGTCCGTTTTTACAACTATGTTCCATATGTTGTTATATTTTAGGTTGGATCACAAATTCACTACTGTGGCTAGCAAAACTCTCTTTAAATGCGATAAAGTTAATTTGTTATGGAGTTGCAAAGGTTTGCTTTCAGCTTTAATTTACGCATTAGATTGTTAAGTTTTACTAGATAGATAAGATTTTAAAAAAAAAAAACGAAAACTTTCTTCAGCTATTTCATAGTCATATTTGCATAGATTTTTGCGAAGTACTCTTTAATTTCTAATTTTTTAATTTTTATTTCGGCTGTCTGTAAATCAAATTGCACTAATATTAGATGAGTGTGCCATTTAACTGCATTTTTTTGCTCAGTCACCTTAGTTTTTTTTTTTTTTTTTTTGAATTATGCTAAGAAAGTTTGACATTTATATAAATATTTATATTTTAAAAACTTTGTAAACATTTTACAGGAAGTGCAATGATAGTAATGGCAATAGTGGATGTTGATATTTCAAATAAAAGTTACTATGGTGAACAAAACTTATATCTTGTGGCGGTAAATGGTGATAGTTGTGCTGTGCCGCTCGAGAAGAATGGACCAGTTTATAGCGCTAAATGGAGTCCTAATGGAAAACAATTTGCAGTTTGTTATGGCTTTATGCCTGCTCGGGTATTTCTACTTTCCTAAAACTTTTTTTTGTTACAATTATTTGAAATAATTTAGAAGAATTTTCGTTGTAATTAATCATCTATTATTATTCTAATACTACTTTAAGTAATCTTGAGTTATTAATTTCAGGTAACTTTGTACAATTTGAAATGTGATCCAGTTTTCGATTTTGGAGAAGGACCACGAAATGATATGTATTACAATCGATTTGGAAATATCTTGATACTTTGTGGTTTCGGGAATATTGCCAGTGGTCGTATGCAATTTTGGGATGTAGAAGCTCGACGTGAAATTGTTACTGTATGTTTTGTTAGTTTAGAATTTTAATTTGATAGAATTTTAATTTCTTGTTATTGTTTTCTTTTTAATTGAATAAAAAAAAAATGTATTTTTACATTTTCTGTTTTTATTCTCTATTATTTTCCAAGATGGTAATAATATTATTTTAGATTGAGGCACCAAACACGACATTATTAGAATGGGCACCAGATGGTCAGCATTTAATGACTGCCACTACAGCTCCAAGACTTCGAATCGATAATTGCTTTAGGATATGGCATTACAGTGGTCGTTTACTTTATGAACATCGCTGTGATTCTTCTTCCGAATTATGGCAGGTAATTTTCATTTTTTAATTAATTTTGTTTTTTTTTTTTGTTGTTTCTTAAATGTAATTTTTGTAAGCTACTAAAAGTGAAAACATGCTAATAAATTCAAATGGACATTTTATGGTTGATTACATAAACAGGCTTTCTGTTCATGATTACATTTTTTTAATATGATAGCTCAATTGTTCATATAAAATATTATGATAGAATTCGATGCAATATTTCTTAGCTTTATTGCTAATAAGTGGTAATAAGACAAAGGCAAGGCCCAGTTGCATAATTAAACTTTTTGTCTTGTTTATTCTGATAAGGTATTATATGATATAATTCTTGTTCCTTTTTATAGCTTTTATATGTCCTACTACTTTTTTGTTATAAAGTAACTCTTCAGATGTCCATGTTAAACTTGATGAGTTTAATGAGAGAGAGAAAGAGAGAGAAAGACTAAATTTAGAGTTTATATTATATTTTTTAGGTGCAATGGCGACCTGTTCCTGGGAATATTTACCATTCCTTTTCGATTCCACTTCTAACAGTTGAAGACAAAGCAAAAGCTGGCTTAATAGTGCAGAAGAAGATTATGGGTGATGAACATCCAGCTAATAATTTGCCAGTTGGTGCAATCAGTAAAAATGGAACTTATGTGCCTCCTCATTTACGGAAAGGTACAATTATATTTACTGAACAAATACTCTACTCTTCAATATGAATAAGCTTTATTTCATTTTATTTGAAGAGAAGTAATGCTAAAACATTGTACAATCTTTATCGCCAAAATCATTCGTAATTTAGGTTCAGCAAAAAATGTTTTGAAAGTGGCAACATCGACTTCAACTTCAAAGGCTCCATTATCTGAAAAAGAGAAAAAGGTAGGAAGTACTGTTATGCTTATAATTTATTAACTGATCTTTAATCAGTTACGTAATTATGATAAGTACTTTTGTTATCATTGTTAGCATTAGAAATATGAATGAATGAAATGTGCTGAAATATGATAGGACATAAAACTTAGTCACTGTTCAATTGCTCATAGATAGATGGGTAAATTTTTATTAGATTTATTAGATTAGAATTATTAGAATTACACAGATTATTTATGGGTGAAACTATTTGAAACAATTTAAGGATAATTAGTATCTTTCAGATACGTGCGCTGCAAAAGAAAATTGATGATATTGAGAAGTTAAAGAAGCGAAAAGAAAGCGGACAAATTTTGGAAGCAAATCAGATGGCAAAAATTAATAAGGAAGATGAAATTATCGAAGAATTGGAAAAATTAAAGGTTGCTTGAAAACTTGTTTGAATTATACTTGTTTGAATTTCTTCTTGAATAATTGCTGGAGAGAAAAAAAAAAGAGCAAATTATTTTTCTCAAGAAAACTAAAAATGGTTCTGTATTGTTTCGTTTTTTTTTTTTTTTTGCTCTATGTTAAATTCGAAATATTTGATTTATGCTCGTTATATTGCTGTTATCAAAATATGAGTAAAATTTTTGATATATATGTTTTTGTTGTATAACCGGTTACATTGAAGAAAATGAAAGCTTTCGCTTTATTTTTAGTACTTTTGCTTGCTGATCATTAGAATATTATCATTCGCAAAAATAGACTACAAAGAAGTTATTGCAAATAACTTATAAAGGTTGTTATATATAAAATATAATTGCTGGATTGTTCGGTGTTGTAGATGAGATTGGCTAAGTAATTACACATGAAATGAATTTTAGGTTTCAAAAATTAAAAAATAAAATAAAATTAATTGATTCGTTGATAAAGTTAGAGTTATCCAAACATTATTATTACTATGGCAACAATCATTTTTTGATTGTAATATCCATCAAATAGTATTTACTTTAATTAACCTATGTAAAACTATTAATTAAAATGCAGGATTGTACTATAGAAACATATTTGAGACTGAATTTTGATGACATTATGGGAAGATTACCTGGTAGTAAAAATAAGCTAATAAAGAATACGGTGAACAGTGACGAAATTGGTGTGAAAGGTTATCAGTTTTTTTTTTTCTGAATTTTTCATATATTTCTTCTCTTTATTCCGTTATCAGTGTAATCGAAGATTGAAATTTAAAATAGTCTTGATGAATCTTAACTATTTTAACAGTTATGATTCTCAAATTCTTTTAAATGTGACAAGTTTTATTTAAAAATGAAAAAAAAATTCAATACGGCGATATGTTTTGATTAATTTCGCTAAATTACTGTATTATTTTATAATTTTTATTGTTATTAAAATGTAAATATACTTGGATTTAGAAGTAATTGCAAAAAAAAAAAAAAGATTAATAAATATGAAAAAAAATTATGCACTTGGAGTTATAGGAGTTATAACATTTATTATACAAATTATTTTAGTCAAAAAACGACCATATGTTCGTCATCATAGACGACTTAGTAATAGACAAGAAAATCAGCCAAGCACATCTGATGAAAAGGTTATCAAAAATTTTTTAATTTCATTTCAAGCTTTCTTCCTATTTATTCACAGATATATGAATAAATGAATTATTACTATTGATTAATTCATACTTTAGTCAAAATTGGTATACAGTTTACTTGAAAAGCTAGCAAAAGAGGTACAGACATTATCCATGGAAGTTGTCGAATTTGAGAGACGAGCACAAGATCGTTATCGTAGTTTAATTGATGAAAATATTACTCTGCGAAAGCAAGTAAACGGTTTAAGGTAAGTATTCCTTTATAAAGTGTTATTATTGCTTTGGAAAAATCTAATTAGCTACTTTTATAAAGTATGTAGGATATTTGAATGATAGGTATAATTCATAATTTCTATTCATGTAATTTGGTAGAATTTCTATAGTTTATGAAGTTTTTTTAAGTTAAACTATGACAGTTTTTTTTTTTTTTTTTTTTTTAGCTCATTATTTTAATAATATATGCATGACTATTCTTCACAAATGATTAAATTCTTGTCTTAGATTGATAACAATAGATTTATCTAACATTTTTGCAATGAATTTGTTAATTTTCATTTAATTAGAGAAGGTATTACTTTTTGATAGTTCTATTTTGCAGCAATAAAGTAGGTGAACTATGTGAGAAGATCAATAAATTACATTCAAAAGGAACTGTAACAGAGAAATATACGTTGCATAGAGGAAAAGTGGAAAATTCACCAATGCCAGAATTAGAACCATATGTTAATGGTACATTTGATGATACAGATGATGAGGAAAAGTTAGTCGTTATTATGAAAATTAATCAAAATTTCTTTTCCTTTAATATTATTATCTGTTTTCTGAGCATTCACTGATATCATATTTTGTCAAATAATTCACTAAATTAAAATCTTGAAATCATACTAATTAGATTTAATTGAATATAGCACGTGGATGTATTGCTTTGTTAAAGGTCAGATAAAGCAGTTGGTACAAAAGATTCCACTATCGATGCTAATGAACTTAACAGTAAACCTCGTAAAAGACGTGCTGCTGCTAACAAACGTGAGGGTGATTATGCTAATATGCTGAAACAAAATATTTCAATTCATGAACCAAAGAAATCGTTGGCAGATACATCAAAATCTCGAGAGAAGAAAGTTAAATTCTTGAAAAAAGAATTAGATGATGGTACTGATTCAGATAAGTAAGTTACTACTAATAACATATTGTTATCTTTCTTACTTAATTAATAAAAAAAATCTTTTTGATTGAAGTTTTTATTTAACATAAGAAAGATTGTTTCATTCTAAGGTTAATTAGCGTTACCAATTATAATGATTTGAGGAGTATGAGTTTCATTACATTTTTTATTCTTAGAATAATTTAGCATAGCAGGTAGGTAGCACTGGAAAAATGGAATCTGTATACCTTCTATGTGCTTATCTATCTTTCTCGAGATTGATAACATCAAAATGTATGCTTAAAAGATAATTAGTTGCTACCTATATTGCATTTTAGTTATTATATTTTAGCTCGAATGATGATTTAAAAGAAGGAAATGAAATTTCGCCATGGAAAATGTATAAACATATTCAAATTATACCACAGCCAACTAATTTACCAAAACCTAAAATTGCTCGTTCTGGCGGAGGACGTAATGTTCATTTTACGGATGAGTGGAAGCAATATGCGACAGCTGTTTATCCCATTGATCCAAGTCGTTATTGGAATCTACCGCAAGCTCAATATGATCTTCTCATACCGGTAAATAATGCTGAAAATTTTGAGCAGATTATTATTATTATTATTATTCCAAAAAAAAAAATCGTAAAAATGGTTTGATGAAAAATTTTATAAACTCTTTAGAGTTTTTTCTTCTTTTTTTTTTTTTACTGTTTGCTAATTTAATATACCAAATAGATTTTAAACATTACAAATAATTGGTTCAGGAAAAAACAAAAACAAACTGTTTTCTAAATGAAATTAGCAATAAAATTACAAAATTGTAAATTTTTTATCAGCAAAAAAAAATATTTTCTTTCCTAGGATGCTGATTTGGAGATGTTTGCGAAAAATCCTGATAAAACTGAAAAAGAGCATTTTATTCGATCAATTTATGATTGGTTTCGAAGTCAACATCGTGTTGCTCAATTGAGAGTGGTACTAAATGAATGTAATTCAGCGATCGATTTCAATGATTTATGGGATGTGTATGTTAAAGGAATGAAACGACGAGGTTGGCCAATTTATGGTAAAAGACTTCGAAAAGGTGAAGTATCAGCTGCAAAACAACGAATTCTGGAGGATTTCATTGATTCTAATATTCAAATCTTTTAATGTAATTCTTTTTCTGTTCATTTTTATTCCTCAAATTGGGTACTGTTTGAAAATTTTTACGTTTGTTTATTTTTTGTTTTGTTTTGCCTTTTTTTTTTTTTTGGATTTTTTATTTGTTGCTTACCAATGATCTTTATATGTTGAGCATAGGGGGAGGGGGAGGAAGGGGAAAAAGGCTAGATGTGAATGATTTGATGAGAATATATTACATTGATAAAGATGACTTCTCGAATTATCGTAAACGGAAATATATTGATTAGGTAATTTAGTTATAAATTATCAGTTACATTCTTTTTTCATTTATGATCTTAAGCAGATTAATGAAAAATTTTGAAATGAAATTTTTGAAAAGATAAAATTTTGTAAACGATGGTGAATTTTTTCTAGCTTTTGCAAATTTTTATGTTTTTACAGTTTTACAAAGTATGATTTTATTTTGTATTTGTCTCATGTCATTTGAACTTCCAAGTTTTTTTTTTTTTTTTTTTTTGTTTTATCATATTCTGAAATTTTTTTGGATCAAATTTTAATTTTTTTTTTAATTTTTTTTGCCTTTTTTTGTTCAGTTATTTTTTTTGTTATCGAATATGCGATGATTTTCTTTTTTTTTTTTTATCAATACGCTACTTTTTTGCTTCATGATTGTTTTGATTGGTTGAATTCTGCTTAATCTGTTTAAAATTTTTGATTTTGTTCTAAACTTCAAACTTTCATCAAATTGCATACTGCTTTGAATTTTATTTAGCATAATAAATTAAGTAGATATTGATTCTCTATTTTTAATTTAACTCCATTGAGCGTTTTTTTTTTTTTTTTGAATCTATCTTTTTTTCATCCTTTAATGCATAAGAAAATCCTAAATTTAAACGAGTAATTCTACAAATTAAAATTCAACATATTCAATTTTGATTTCAGTAAAATAATTCTGATGTGAAATGTATAAATTATAAACAAGAAAGATTTATATAAAATAAGAACCAATGCTGATGAGTATTTTATAGATTTAGATTATATTGTAAAAATTGCACACACCAATGCATACAAAGCGATGAGTAAGCTTTTTTTAAAAAATACTTTGTGAGAATATTTGAATGCAACATGAGCAAAGGAAGAAACGCAAAATTTGAATTATAGATGATAATAATAATAATAATAAGCTTTTCCAAAACAAAATAAAATATTTTTTAAGTTTTTTTAATGAATAAAATTATAGATTTTAATATTTTTTCCAATATTCTATTTCTAAGAAAAACGAATATAAGTATTTTTTTTATGGAATATAAATAATTATGTTGCTTATAAAAGAATTAATTACTGTAAGTTAAGCGAAAAACTGTTGAAATTTAATTAGGTAATTGTCAAAAAACAAAAAAAAAAAAAAAAAAAACGGCAGTGAAGAAGGACAAAGAGAGAGAGAGAGAGGGAGAGAGGGACGATGTAAATTTTTTCAAACAAAAAATATCCCATTTAAATTGGCATAAAAGTAAATCTCTTTTTCATTTCTTAATGATATAATAGATTAAAAGCAAAAGAATTAATTGATAAATGAAATGTATTAATTGTCAAATCTATAATACTTTAAAATTTTTTTTTAATTTACTCTAACTTTTGCTATTAATTAGATTCAAATTCCCAAAAATCTATTTTTTTTCTTCAATCGATGCTTGCATTCATGAATATTTTGCTAATGAAAAAATTATTGATTAAACAGATGCGAAATTTTTTAGGAAAAAAAAAGGACAAAAAAAAAAAAAACAAAATGAAGAATAATCGAGCAGAATGTTAACAAAATTTGAATGAATTGTTGTATGATTGTAATTTTTATTCTGTTTCTGCTTGTTCAATCATTTCATCTAATTCTTCATCAGCAGTTGCCTCCTATAATACAAATTAAATTAAATAACACAGATATAAAATATATTTAAATAGATAATTGTATTTCGTAATTAAAATTTCAATAATTGAATTGATAATTCTATTTACAATCAAAATCCCAATAATTAAACAGATAATTCTATCTATGATTGAAATCCTAATAATTAAATAGATAATTCTATTTGTAATTAAAATTTCAATAATTAAATAGACAATTCTATTTATGGTTAAAATCCCAATAATTAAGTAGATAATTCTATTTATAATTGAAATCCCAATACTTAAATAGATAAATCCATTTATAACTAAAATCCTAATATTTAAATAGACAATTCTATTCGTAATCAAAATCCCAGTAATTAAACAGACAATTCTATTTAAGATTACAATCTCAATAATTAAATAGATAATTCTATTTATGATTAAAATCTCAATACTTAAATAAGTAGATCTATTTATAACTAAAATCCCAATAATTAATTGGATAATTCTAATTGCAACTAATATTCCAATAATTAAATAGACAATTCTATTTATGATTAAAATCCCAATATTTAAATAGATAATTTTAATTGCAATTAAAATCTCAATACTTAAATAGACAACTCTACTTGCAATTAAAATCCTATCATTTTTGCATAATATTATTTTGTCTTAATTTCTTAAATTATCAGGTCAACTTATATCATTTTTTTAACTGTCATCAAAAAAAAAAAAACAAAAAGAGGAAAGATCAAAAATAGAATTAGAAAAATGACCTGATATTGTTGATATTCAGAAACTAAATCATTCATATTACTTTCAGCTTCCGTAAATTCCATTTCATCCATTCCTTCACCAGTATACCAATGCAAAAATGCTTTTCGTCGAAACATTGCTTAAAATATTTTAATAGTTCACTTATTTTTTTTTTTAATTTTAATTTTATATAAATAAAATTATTAAACAATAGTTAATTTCAAAATAATTTACTAAAATAATGAAATTATTTTCCAGAATACTACTAATTAATATTTGTATTACTAATTAATCTGATAAATTTTCATGAAAAAAAAAAATAAAATAAATAAACCTGTGAATTGTTCGGAAACACGTTTAAACAGTTCCTGAATTGCCGTTGAATTACCAATAAACGTGGCAGCCATTTTAAGTCCACGTGGCGGTATATCACATACGGCTGTTTTCACGTTATTCGGAATCCAATCAACAAAGTATGCAGAATTTTTATTTTGTATATTCAACATTTGTTCATCAACATCCTAAAAATTTATTTATTCACTTAGATAAATGTATTTTCAAGTTTAACTAATTGTGTCGAAGAAACGTTATTTTTTTTAAAAAAACACTGAAATTTTTAATTCTACTATAAGAAGTTAAGGAATTAAAATTTAAATTCGAACTTTTCACTCCCTTTTTTTATTTGAAAATAGTTAAACTCAGTGAAATAGCAAATGCAAACATTTTTTAATTTCATTTTTTATCATCATACATAATTAATACTTAAATTGAAATAATTAACAATTGTAATTATAAATATCAATTCTAAATTCTATACATAAATTTTATTCCAATATATAAGATTAATTTGATGAATTAATCGAATTTTCAAATGATTCACTTTTTGTTCTTTTTTTTTTTTTTTTGTTGAAACAATCCAAAATGATAGTTAATTTTATGGAAAATATAATTAATAATAATGATATAATTATTAATTTTTTTATGAATGATAAGAAAGTATTTTTTTTTTCTGATAGCACAAAAATTAATGAATTTTCTTCGTTTTTTTTTTTTTAGAAAATTAATTTTAAAGTAAATTTTAAGTTTAAGTATAAAAAAAAAAAGAAAATTAAAATGCAAGAAACCTTCATTGACATTCTACCACGAAAGATTGCAGCTGCTGTAAGATAACGTCCATGTCGTGGATCACATGCTGCCATCATATTTTTTGCATCAAACATTTGCTGGGTTAATTCAGCTACCGTAATAGCACGATACTGTTGATTACCTATAAAATTTAATTATTAATTATCAATTTGATGATACATTTTAATTAATCGATTATAAATTTGATTTAATACTTAATTCTAATTAATATCGCTTATTGAATTAATAGATTATAAATTTAATACCTAATTCTAATTAATATCGCTTATTGATAAAATATTAATTTGCTAAATTGCTAAATTATTAAGCTAAATTTAAGAATAATAACAATATTTATTTATTATTATTATTAATATATTACTTAAACTAATATATTACTAGTTTAATAAATTGAATAATATATTATTTAATCAAAAAATTAAAAAATAAGCAAACTTCGAGAAGTAAGTGGCGCAAAACCGGGCATAAAAAAATGCAACCGTGGAAATGGTACCATATTAACGGCTAATTTACGTAGATCAGCATTTAACTGAAATATATTTTAAATCTGAGATATTTTTTCTTTTCTAATTTTATTCTTATATTTCGTTTTTTTTTAATTTCATTAATTTTTTTTTTTTTTTTATTAAATATGTTGTATTTAGGTCATTGAATTTTCTTGGTTTTGTAATATTAGTATAATTTTATTTTAAAACCTTTTTTTCTAATTTTTTTTTTCTAAATACAAAAACCATATTTACTTGAATGATAAATATTATCTTATCAAATTGATTACATTAAATTTCAATGTAATACATAATTGATAACAATTATTGATAAGTGTATTCTCAGATAAAAACGAAATATAAGAATAAAATTTAGTGTGATATTTTACATTTATTATTTTTTTTTAGAATGAAATATTTATTTCAGCAAAATTAATTTCATTAATATCACTTATCATTATTCAATTAATTTAAATTAATTTAATTAACAATTTGCTACACACAAAAAAATGATAAATTGTTTGTTATAGATAAATGAGAATTTTTATGACTATAAACAAATGATTGTTTAATTAATTCAAATTAATTAAAAATTATACACACACATATGTTTGTTTTTGTTTATTTATTTATTCATTTATTTTATCAATTTTAAAAAAGTAAAATGTTTAAAAGTTTTTTTTTTCAAAAATTAAAATGTTTAAAAGTATTTTTTTTTAAATTAAAATGTTTAAAAAGCATTTTTTCAAAAATTAAAATGTTTAAAAGTATTTTTTCAAAAAGTAAAATGTCTAGAAGTATTTTTTTAAAAAGTAAAATGTTTAAAAGTATTTTTTTAAAAATTAAAATGTTTAAAAGTATTTTATAGGATTGTAAAAAGAGAAGATAAAAATTATTTCAACTTTTTATAAAAATCATTTTACTGTAAAAAAATAAAAAAGACAAACTTGTCCAGGAAATCTTAGACATGTTGTGACACCACTCATTGTTGCACTAACCAAATGATTCAAATCACCATATGTTGGAGTTGTTAACTTCAATGTTCTGTAAATTTTTTTTTTTTTCAAAATAAATTCAAAAAAAAAATAAAATATTTTTTCAAAAAATAATTTTTCAATTCAACTAGAATAAATAAATATAAGAATTGATAATAATTAAGGTTAAAATATATAAAAAATTGATGAAAAAATAATAGATGGAATTAATTTTAATAATATTTTCTATTGTTTTCTTGTATCATTAGTTTATCATTATTAGTAATTTATTATTATCATTATTAGTAAATAAAAAATAATTTGAAAAATAAAAATATTTTTTAAAAAAAAATATCAAAAAACAAGTAATTGAAAAAAAAAGTAAATAAAAAATAATTGATAATTGTATATTTTACAAATTATACCTATGTTATGTTATCAACTAGAATAAATAAATATAAGAATTGATAATAATTAAGGTTAAAATTTATAAAAAATAATAGATGGAATTAATTTTAATAATATTTTCTATTGTTTTCTTGTATCATTTTCTTATTAATAATTTTTTTTTATTAGTAAATAAAATAATTTTAAAAAAAATAAAATCATTATTAGTAATTTATTATTATTAGTAAATAAAAAATAATTTTTCATTATTAGTAATTTATTATTATTAGTAAATAAAAAATAATTTAAAAAATAAAAATATTTTTTAAAAAAAAATATCAAAAAACAAATAATTAAAAAAAAAAGTAAATAAAAAATAATTGATAATTGTATATTTTACAAATTATACCTATGTTATGTTATTATCAATGATAATTAAAATTTACCTGAAACAGATATCGTAAAGTGCTTCATTATCAATACAAAATGTTTCATCGGTATTTTCAACTAATTGATGTACTGATAACGTAGCATTGTATGGTTCTACTACGGTATCCGATACCTGTAATTAAAAAAAGAAAACTTTGAAATTTGAAAAAAAAAATTTAACTATTCCTTACTTTCAAATAATATTATTCAAATAATTAAACATAATATAATATCGTAATATTATTCATTAGTTTATTTTTTTCTTTTCTTTAAAATTTAATTAAATTGATGATATTTTTCATACAATTTTTAATGATTTTAAATAACTAAGATTTATGTATTAATATTAAAAATATTAAAAACAAAAAAAAAAAATGCTCTAATCTCTTTATCAAATTATTTACAATAATTAATAAATTATTCCTTGCTAATTAAAATTCAACTTTTATTACTATTATTATTATTATTATTATTATTAATCCTTTCTAACAAAAAGTATAAGAATTGAAATAAAATGGATTAATTAATTAACAATTTTTACTCATTTTTCAAATTTCTTAATATAATTTTCATTTGCTATAATTTAGCATAAAAATTTAAATTCAAAATTCATTATTTAATTAAATTGATTTATTATTTTATTCAATTATTTAACCAACAATAATTTGAATACCTTTGGAGAAGGAACCACAGAAAAAGTTGTCATAATACGATCCGGATATTCTTCACGAATTTTTGATATTAGTAGTGTACCCATGCCGGAACCGGTACCACCACCCAATGAATGAGTAAATTGAAAACCCTAAATAAAAAATTTATTACAGTATACAAAATGATATTTCAATATTTTCAACAAATCAAAATAAAATTTTACCAAAGAAATTATTTACTAAAATTAGAAAAATTTGTATATTAGTTGAAAAATTAGTTAAAAATTTAAATTTTTAATTTCAATTTCTTTTTCCATTGAATTAATCTTTTTTAAATAAATACTTTGTCTCTTTTTTTGAAAAAAAAAATTTTTTTTAATTATTGCAAGAGAAGAATACTTGTAAGCAATCGCATGCTTCAGCTTCTTTACGAATTACATCCAAAACACTGTCAACCAATTCCGCTCCTTCAGTATAGTGACCTTTGGCCCAGTTATTACCTGCTCCACTTTGACCTACAAATATTTCTATTTTTAGTTAATAGAAAATAAAATAAAAAAAAATAAATAAAAGAAAAAACCCTAAATCATTTTAAATTATTTAATTATATAACAATTCCAATATTTTTATTAAATAAAAACATATCAATTTTGAAAAAAAGAAAAAATCGATTTTTTATTTAATTTAAAATTTTTAAAATAAATGAAAAAAAAAAAAAGAAAGAAATGATTAACCAAAAACATAGTTATCAGGTCGAAAAAGTTGCCCAAATGAACTAGCACGTACACTATCCATTGTTCCGGGTTCTAAATCTACCAAAATTGCTCTAAAATTTATTTAAATAATTTTTTTTTTCAAAAAAAAAGAAATATCAAAGAAAAAAAAAACTTTGTTCATTTATGAATTCTCATAAATTTTCATTTGTTTCATCACGTTAGTATTATTAACATTAATAAAATTTAAAATATTACAATTAATATTTAAATTTTACATCTTCATATATTAAAATTGCTCTAAAATTTATTTGAATAATAATAATAATAATAATAAAAAAGAAAAAAATATTAAAAGAATCAAAAAACTTTGTTTCATTTATAAATTCTCATAAATTTTTATCTCATTATTATTATTATTATTATTATTATTATTATTATTATTATTATTATTATTATTATTATTATTGTCATTATTATTATTATTATTATTATTATTATTATTATTATTATTATTATTATTATTATTATTATTATTATTATTATTATTATTATTGTCATTATTATTATTATTATTGTCATTATTATTATTATTATTATTATTATTATTATTATTATTATTATTATTATTATTATTATTATTATTATCAATATAATTTAAAATGTTACAATTAATATTTGAATTTTTTATTTTTCATATTAAACAATTTAAAAATCATTTTACCTTGGTACATATCGTTGTTTTTGTACCTCATTATAATAAACATTGATACGTTCCAATTGTAAATCACTATCACCATGATACTGTCCAAGTGGATCAATTCCATGCTCATCTGAGATAACTTCCCAAAACTATAATTTTAAATAAATATAAAAAAAATTGAAATAAAAAAAAAAATTAAATAAATGAAAAAATTAAAAAAAAAAAAGGAAAGAATTTTATAAACATTTATTTCTTTCTCTTACATTTTTTCTTTATATGAATTTTTTTTTTTTTGATCGAAATTTTAATTTTTTCATCTATTTATGCATGTACAACAAATTTTTTAAAAAAAAAAAAAGAAAAAAGATTAAACCTTTGAACCAATTTGATTACCACATTGGCCAGCTTGAATATGAACAATTTCACGCATTTTCTATAAATTTAACAAAAAAATTTATCAATAGTTTAGCTAATATAGTAAAAAAATTAATTAATTAATTAATTAAATAAATAAATAAAAGATAAATCAAGAAGAAATGTCTTTTTTTTTTTTTACTTTTAATTTTGTTAACTTTAAACGACAAACTAAAATTGGAAAAATGTAAGAATGAACAAAAAAAAAAAAAAAAGAAAAAGAAAAATGGAAAATAGAAAATGGAGAAATGATGATGCATTGGGAGATGGATTTTAATAGGCCTACAACTTATATGTTAGAACATTTTTGCCTAGACAACAACAAAAAAAAGAGAAAGAAACCGAAGAGCTATGTAAACGAGAAAGCTAAATGTAGCCTAGTGAAAGAGTCAAGGCCAAGCCAAGCCAAGCTGAGCCAAGCTGAGCCAAGCTGAGCCAAGCCAAGCTATTCAATATTGTGCATGAATATTCATTTCATGCAATACATTACAAATGGTTAATTGAAAGCGATGTCATACATTTTTCATCAACATTTTCCTCTCTTTGTCTCTTTTTTTTGCTGTTTCAAAAACAAAAAAGAAAAAATAAAATAAAATAAAAATAAAAAGTGAAAATAGAAAAAAAAAAAAAGTAAAATAGATATCTGAATTGGGTGATATATTTCAAAAAAAAAATGACTAGACGATATATTCAAGCTAAACAAACTCATTTAAATAGGACTAAAAAAAAAAAATTAATGTATCTATAACATTCAGTATTTCAATTTTTTTTTTAGTTTAAAATTTCTATGATAAATATAAAATATTAGAAAAAGTAGTAGGAAGAAAAAAAAATGAAAAGTTTTAAAATGATATTATTTTTTTTTCTTTTTTATTTTTAATTTTATTATTAATTTATTGTGACATTTTGAAAAAAATTATGAGCAATATAATATTTATAAAATGGAATTAAATTAAATAATCATGAATTGTTGTTTTTTTCCTTCGTATATATTATTATACTATGTTAGAAACTATGCTTTTAAAATTTTTAAAATAATGCATTTTTCACTTTCATTAATGTCATTGGTTTTTTTGTTTACTTTTTTGTTTATTTATTAAAAAAACCTAATATTTAATGACTTATATTAGCTAATATAAGCAATGATGATGCAAAATTTCAATAATTATATTTGCAAATACAATTCATCATTCACATATTTTTCTTCAATAAAATGCATCAACATTGTTTTTTCTTTTTTTTTTTAATTTGAATTTAAATTAAAAATGATCAATGAATAAATAAATAAATAAATAATGTTTGCGTGTGTGTATGTGTGTGTTTGTGTCCGTTTGTGAAAGAGAAAAGTTAATTCAAAACAATAATTTATCAGTATTTTCAAAATATAATTTCATGAATAATACAATAAAAAAAAAAAAAACGAATACAACACAAACAAACGAAAAAGAAAAAGGAAAAAGGAAAAATAAAAAATATTAATTATATTGGAAATTTATTTTAAAAAAAAAACATTTCCTAAAAAAAAATTTTTTTTTTTTGCTTATTTATTAATTAAATTATAAATTAATTCATAATAATTTGCCAGTTTTTTTTTTTTCTTGTTTTAGAATAGTTATTTTTTACAAATAATATTTTTGAGAATATAAATTCGAGCAATGAATGAAAATTTAAAAAAAGAAAAAAAAGAATAAATAAATGAAAAATATTTTAAAGAATAAAATTGAAAATATAAAATGTATGAAAGATAGCAGAAAATATTACTTTAAAATTTATAAAAAAAAAAAAAAGTAAATAAAATCGATGTAAAGTAATGAAATAGAAATAAATGGAAAAGAGTTGAAAGCAATCGTACTAAAAAGACAAAAACAAAAAATGGAAATTGATGCAAAGGAGAAAAATAAAAGGGAAAAAGGGAAGGAAGGAAAAGTGGCGGTGTTCGTCCAATGAAAAATGTTATTTTTTTTTTTGAAATCAATAAATATTTTTGTCAAAAAAAAAAAATTTAGGAATGATAAGTAAAAAAAATTTTTTTTTTTTTTTGAAATTAATAAATATTGTAGTCAAAAATTGAGAGTTTAATTTTAGGAATGATAAGATAAGTAACATTCATTATAATTAATTTATTTCTAGCTAAAAAAAAAAAAAAAATCACTATGTAATTTCTTTATTAAAAATTTTATGATGGATGAATTAATTGAAACAGGTTTAAGGTATTTTTATTTGTGTCACCTGTCATATTTTTATTGTCATAGATTGTTAGTTATTACTAAATGATAAGTTTAAACTCTTTCTAATTAGTATATTAAAAAAGAGTAAATAGCAAATATTGAATTTATTATTTAATTTCAGGTTCATTTTCAACATTTTTTTATTATTGAAAAAATTAATTTGAAAATGTAAAAATTATTTCTAATGATGTTATATTTTGAAAAAAAACATTTTTAAAATTAACAATAATAAATGAATGAAAAAAAAAAGGGAGAAAAAAGTAAATATTGAATTTATTATTCAATATCAGGTTCATTTTCCTCATCAAATTCAGCTTCATCATCTGCTGTTGCATCCTGAAATGCAAAAATTATTTTTTTTTTTTTAAATTTAAAAAATTTTTCAAATCTTTTTGTAATGAAATAGATTTTTTATTAAAAAAAAAAGAAAATTTGTCATATCACTGATGATTATTTATCAAATAATTTTATATATCTTTTTTTTTTGAGTTTGAATTGATTTTTTAATAAAATTAAATAATCATTGTTATTAATTTTAAAATAAAATAAATACAAATAATATTTGTAAATCTTTTTAATTCTTTATTTTATAGTAATACCAAAAAAAAAAAAAAAAAAAAAAGAGAATTAGAAAAATGACCTGATATTGTTGATATTCAGAAATTAAATCATTCATATTACTTTCGGATTCTGTAAATTCCATTTCATCCATTCCTTCACCAGTATACCAATGCAAAAATGCTTTTCGTCGAAACATTGCTTAAAAATTTTTTTTTTCTTTTTTAAATTTAAATATCTAATTTGTATAAACTAATCATTATTGTATTTCCATTAAAACGTAAATGTTAAACGTTTAAATAAGCAAAAAAACAAAAAAAATCCATTTAATTAACAGTATTTTTTAATTTTAATTTATACATAAAAAATTTAATTTTAGTTTTTACATTTAAAAAAAAAAGGAAAGAAAAAAAGAAAGAAATGAAAATTAATGAAACAAATGTTTGCTAAGTGATATTTTGTTCATTTTTAGCATATTTATACCTATTGATTTATTCAATTTATTTTTTTTAAAATTTTACTTTTATTCCTGTAAAACGATATTATATCTCATAAATCATAAATCTCATAAATTTTCATTTGCTTCATTTCATTAATAATTAATATTTAAATTTTACATCTTCGCATACCGAAATTGCTCTAAAATTTATTTGAATAGTAAGTTTAAAAAAAAAAGAGAAAGAAATCCAAAAAAAATCAAAAAAACTTTGTTCATTCATGAATTCTCATAAATTTTCATCTCATTATTATTATTATTATTATTATTATTATTATTATTATTATTATTATTATTATTATTATTATTATTATTATTATTATTATTATTATTATTATTATTATTATTATTATTATTATTAAATTATAAAATGCTATTATTTAAATTTTGTATTCAAAATGATAATATTTAAATTTTGTACTCTTCATTGTTTTTCCAATACTAAAATACTAGAATACTAAAATTATTTCTAATACTAAAATTTGATAAAATTGAAATTCAATTAAATTTTTAAAAGACATTTTTTATTGAGTAAAGCTTATTGGATTTATTTATGATATAATAAAATATCCATAATGTATATTTTATTGTAACAAATTAAAATCATACATACCTGTGAACTGCTCAGAGACACGTTTGAATAATTCTTGAATAGCAGTTGAATTACCAATAAAGGTAGCAGCCATTCTGATACCTCTTGGTGGAATATCACAAACAGCTGTTTTGACATTATTTGGTATCCATTCAACAAAATATGATGAATTTTTATTTTGTACATTTAACATTTGTTCATCTACTTCCTGCAAAAATTTATGTTAAATTTTTATCTTTGATCTTTTTTTTTTTCTAACCTTTCCTTATCTTTTAATAATTTTTGACATTTACACTTTTTGTTTTTGTTTTTTTTTTTTTAAAAAAACTCGTTAACATTAATTTGAAATTAAAAAAAAAGGAGGAGGAGGGGAAAAAGAGATGTGTGAATTTTTCATTCATTTATCATTCATTTAAAATGCATATTGTAATGTAATAAAATGTAAAATAAAATTTTTAAATATTTCAAAGCATTAAAATTTTTCAAACAATAATTAATTGTATTATTAGCAATGTTTAAAATTTATAGCTAAACTCCTTTTCTTTTTTCCTCTTCAAAAAATTTTAACCTATTAATTAAAAAAAAAAAAAAAACGAATATCACGTTAAAAAATTGTTTTAATCTAGTAATGAAACAAAATAAATATAAAATACAATGATAATTTAATTTAGTAATGAAACAAAACAAATATAAAATACAATGATAATTTAATTTAGTAATGAAACAAAACAAATATAAAATACAATGATAATTTAATTTATTAATGAAACAAAATAAATATAAAATACAATGATAATTTAATTTATTAATGAAACAAAATAAATATAATTTAATTTTTCATCGTTTTTTTTTTTTTTTTTTCAAATAATTCATTATTCAACAAATTTCTCATTAACTTATTATAACAACAATAATAATAATAATAAAATAACAAAAGAAAAAAATTTGTTAAATTTCATTATTTGAAAAAAACGAATATCACTTTGAAAAATTATTTAATTTAATAATGAAACAAAAAAACAAATACAAAAATACAATAATAATTTAATTTTCCATCGTTTTTTTTTTTTCTGTCAAATAATAAAATTTAACAAATTTCATCCATCAAATTTATCCAATTATTTAATTATAATTATAATTAT